AAGTGATTACAGTAGAAGCGGGATATGGAGGCGGTTGATCGGAAACGGGCGAACAGGTGACCGATTTTATAGCAATATCAACGAATTTCAACGTACTAGCATGTACCATCGCGAGAAGATGAAGCATATACACATACATCGTGTTTAGTTTTGGGGAAACTCTGGGAACTAAATGAGAGGAATTCATCGCAGTGGATTTTTTAGAGGACCACTTTCTAATCTTATGCTCTATAAATTTATCGCCTCGCGTTTATAATAAAGTTTATTAGGAATTTGTTTTCGGAACAAATAGTAGATCTCTTCACTTGTAAACTAATTATCGGCATAAAAGAAAATTTAATTAGCGAAAGATAATAAGGAAGACGAAAAAAAAAAGTTGCACGTGAGCTCAGAAAATTTGCGCTGCATTACTAGCACGTGTTATAACCTGATTATATTTGAATCCAAAATGGTCGCAACCTTCGTACGGACACATGACAAGCTGTTTTTCATCGATCACTTGCTGATGTCTGCGAAGCCCTGAAAGATGCACGGATGAAATTCTAAAAATGTCATTTTTGAATAACAAATATTAGCAACATTGTGACAAATGTCATCAATATTTGCATCTGTCTAAAATAACGCGTACTCTGTTGGTGTACGGGTTTGTGTAAAGGAAGAAATATATTGGTCATTACCAAAAACCAACTAAGCCCTACAAAATAGTGTGAAACGATTTGCTTAACCAGTCAACACAGCGCTAATTACTCACCAGCTGTGCAAGCATATTTTCGACCACATTTCTCACATGTAAGATCGCGTTCATCTCTAAAGCAACCTCTAATGTATGGAGTTCGAAAATTCCTAATCGAAAAATTCCTCACGGATGATGGGCAGCAATGTACGCTTTTGAAGTTCAAATTTTGGAACGAACTGGCTGTTGCATTTCATGCATTGCTCTGGTAACTAGAAAACATCGATATAGCACTAAAACATACGAAACATTATGTATTGAGACAGAAACAGGAGAGAACCTCGTAGAATGAAGGAGGCATGCCGTTTCACTACACATGCTTCCGATAGTGTCAGAGCAAAGTGCGGGAACTGAATTAAAATAGATTAGACTAACTTCTACCAATGACTTGTTTTGGTCTTTTTTAAATCCACATGAAAATTTGAAGCATTTTGAAGACCTAAAATTAGTAATCTTCCTGCCCACTCACATAAATTAGAGCGAGTTGGTCATTCTTGCAGAGAAGTTTAATTGGTAAGATGACAATTGCTAGACCTCTTTTCTCCCATTTAGTTTAGTTGTCAAATTCGAAACTACCTGATAAGACAAAATTCAACTTTGACATAGTGTTTTTCGTCACCTGATGACAAGTAACAGCTTTTTCATGTTTTCACCCTCCATTTCAATGTGCGCTTGATGGTTGTGACCCTGGTGCAATCTTCACATAAAGCTACACTTCTCCCAGAATTTTGTCGTTATGGGGAGCTTAAGATAACGCTGCACACTGACGCAAACGATGGTGGTTGTATACTAAACAGTATATAGTCATTTCTAAATAATGTCAACATGGGCGTGGCGACATCTCTTCTGCAAGGATAAGTCGGCTGCATGCGCTTCAAGCATCCTCCAGTAGAGAATCAAAGAGAAGAGATCGATATGACTGAACAGCTGTGGATTCACTCCATTGCTAAAGGACAATAGCAAGGATTGAAAGATTACTCTTTTGCTGGAGTGTTCAACGAAATGTAGCAACAAGAGCGTGATCACATGAGCTTAGGTTCTGGTTCATACATAAACTATGAGAAAGTGTGAGAAAAATTCCATTTCATATCTTTACCCTATCTCTAGGGATAGCGTAGCAGAGTGGCTGGGAATGCTGGCGACTGCCCTTGTTAGTACTTTGGGTACGACAGGCTCACAGCGCTAGCTCAGCCACCAAGCCGCGCTGCATTAGCAGTAGGTAATGCTGAGTGATTAGTAATGGCCCTGCCGGGCTATAAAAGTTGTTGGTACGATTTTTTCCCATGACGCTTCACAGGAGGTCTTTTGGTGTTGATTTCTAGCGTAAATTAGTATCAAAGAGTTAATCACAGACGTGATTATCGCTGAGGTGCCTTGAAAAAATACTTCTTCTCAGTACGTTCTAACCCACAATTATAATTCTTGATACGTTATAATCCATGGAGTAGAAGCGGAACTTACGTACTTGTTTTGCAGAACTGACTGTTTCCATTTTTATAATAGTTCTTCTAAAAAGTAGCACATTGTAAAGAACATCTCCTTGAACCGAAGTTTACAACATCGTCGGAAGAATTGCGAAGAAAGCTAAGTGTGCGACGTCACCCCATGGATCTTCGCTTTCTGTCAAAAAGTAGTGAAATGATAAACAACTGAACATCTTTCTTGCTATAATCGAGTATGTAAATGATCGCTCATTGCTAACTAACATTACAAAATCACGCCGAATAGCTTGCTGTGGGGCGCCGTAGTGGAGGACTTGACCAAAAACCTTCTTTCCGACGGTCGGCATCACGAATCACTCGAAGCTGCGGACTGCTCGTCGTGCACGAGCAGGCGGGGTCAGCGCCGTTGACCAGTCGTACCCAAATTTTTGACTAAGTCTTTTTTTCTTGCTGTCGTCAGAAAATATATCAGACTTGTCTGTGAGGCTAAAATACGTGTGCAACCCAATTATTTTGATTCAGCTGCTTTACAGCTGCGGTATGATGTCCAAATACACATTCAAAAAGATTGAGTGGCGCGTATAAAGTCGACCTTAGGCGAGAGTTAAACCCGCGTTACGCTTACCGAAGTTCAACTCCTAGCTGAGGCCGATTTTTTTTTGCGTAAAACTCGATCTTCTTGGAAAAACTAAAACTTACTTTGGATAGAACGCATCAACTTGTTCCGTTGGGCTCTACCCTGACTAGATTCGTAAATTATCTAGAGCTTGAGAATTCTTCTACTTCTTTCTTTAACTTAACTTCTACTATTTGTTTTCTTCAGATCTTCTATTCCGTGTCACTGGGAGCAGCTGCCTAGGTGGTTAAAACATCAAATGAAGAAAGGGTGCGAGACCTCGTGTGATGGTGACGCATTCTTCCGTCCGGTTTACTTCGAGGTTTTTGGAGTAAATGGAGCAAATCCACAGCTGTTCAGTCATATCGATCTCTTCTCTTTGATTCTCTACTGGAGGATGCTTGAAGCGCATGCAGCCGACTTATCCTTGCAGAAGAGATGTCGCCACGCCCATGTTGACATTATTTAGAAATGACTATATACTGTTTAGTATACAACCACCATCGTTTGCGTCAGTGTGCAGCGTTATCTTAAGCTCCCCATAACGACAAAATTCTGGGAGAAGTGTAGCTTTATGTGAAGATTGCACCAGGGTCACAACCATCAAGCGCACATTGAAATGGAGGGTGAAAACATGAAAAAGCTGTTACTTGTCATCAGGTGACGAAAAACACTATGTCAAAGTTGAATTTTGTCTTATCAGGTAGTTTCGAATTTGACAACTAAACTAAATGGGAGAAAAGAGGTCTAGCAATTGTCATCTTACCAATTAAACTTCTCTGCAAGAATGACCAACTCGCTCTAATTTATGTGAGTGGGCAGGAAGATTACTAATTTTAGGTCTTCAAAATGCTTCAAATTTTCATGTGGATTTAAAAAAGACCAAAACAAGTCATTGGTAGAAGTTAGTCTAATCTATTTTAATTCAGTTCCCGCACTTTGCTCTGACACTATCGGAAGCATGTGTAGTGAAACGGCATGCCTCCTTCATTCTACGAGGTTCTCTCCTGTTTCTGTCTCAATACATAATGTTTCGTATGTTTTAGTGCTATATCGATGTTTTCTAGTTACCAGAGCAATGCATGAAATGCAACAGCCAGTTCGTTCCAAAATTTGAACTTCAAAAGCGTACATTGCTGCCCATCATCCGTGAGGAATTTTTCGATTAGGAATTTTCGAACTCCATACATTAGAGGTTGCTTTAGAGATGAACGCGATCTTACATGTGAGAAATGTGGTCGAAAATATGCTTGCACAGCTGGTGAGTAATTAGCGCTGTGTTGACTGGTTAAGCAAATCGTTTCACACTATTTTGTAGGGCTTAGTTGGTTTTTGGTAATGACCAATATATTTCTTCCTTTACACAAACCCGTACACCAACAGAGTACGCGTTATTTTAGACAGATGCAAATATTGATGACATTTGTCACAATGTTGCTAATATTTGTTATTCAAAAATGACATTTTTAGAATTTCATCCGTGCATCTTTCAGGGCTTCGCAGACATCAGCAAGTGATCGATGAAAAACAGCTTGTCATGTGTCCGTACGAAGGTTGCGACCATTTTGGATTCAAATATAATCAGGTTATAACACGTGCTAGTAATGCAGCGCAAATTTTCTGAGCTCACGTGCAACTTTTTTTTTCGTCTTCCTTATTATCTTTCGCTAATTAAATTTCTCTTTTATGCCGATAATTAGTTTACAAGTGAAGAGATCTACTATTTGTTCCGAAAACAAATTCCTAATAAACTTTATTATAAACGCGAGGCGATAAATTTATAGAGCATAAGATTAGAAAGTGGTCCTCTAAAAAATCCACTGCGATGAATTCCTCTCATTTAGTTCCCAGAGTTTCCCCAAAACTAAACACGATGTATGTGTATATGCTTCATCTTCTCGCGATGGTACATGCTAGTACGTTGAAATTCGTTGATATTGCTATAAAATCGGTCACCTGTTCGCCCGTTTCCGATCAACCGCCTCCATATCCCGCTTCTACTGTAATCACTTGCTGATGTAGTGACTCATGTTGTATATATCTGCTGAGAACACAACGTCAACTTATTCTCCAAATATCCTCATTAGAAAAAGGTCTTCTCGCTCTAGACTATCCAAATGTCATTCGCTTTCTTTCGAATGAGCTTCAATCGCTTGAGGTTGAATGAACAGTGAGCAAATCTGCTACTGTGTCAAATAATCTCACTGTCTGCGTCAGCCGGATTTGAACCCAGGTCTTACTCTTTTCAGGTGCATGTGCTAAACCGTTGCACTGCCGACGCTCGTTCGGCACTCTACTCTTTCTACGCTACAACGCGTTATCTGTCAACAGCCAACCGTCTACGGTGTGGCGGAGCAGTCTTTATCGACATTGAACTTTTGTTGACACTGTC